AAAAAAAAAAAAAAAAAAAAACACTGCCTTGCTTGTCCCATTTTACATCCGGCAATTGCTGCACTAAAATTCCTGATGGGCCTAACTTGCTAACAATGGGTTGCTGTGGCTGATTGCTGGACCTCCTGTCCTGTCATACGTTCCTTAGCTCCGATGATTTGCAGTTCCTTCTCAGAGGACTGATTGAGAACTGGAGTACCCATGTGAGCTGGAATAGTACACCATATGTATGAGCTGACTGAGAACTGAGGACTGAGAGAAACGGCTTTCTTAGAGACGGAACGGAGCGGAGTAGAAGGCTAAAGAATAGCGCACCATACGAACCGGAATAGCACACCATATGAGCTGACTGAGAACTGAGGACTGAGAACCGGTTTTCTTCGAGACAGAGAACCGAGTAGAAGGCTAAAGAAGAATAGTGCACCATATGTGCTGACTGAGAACCAGCTTTCTTATAGCTGGAGCCTGGAACCGAGTAGAAGGCTAAAGAATAGTGCACCATATGAGCCGGAATAGCACACAGAAAAAAGAAAAAGAAAACAGATGGAACTGGGAACCAGCTGTCTTAAACCTGGATCTTATAACTGTCTCTGACCTTGAGCATTGGTACACGGAGCAGTTTGGTTTCCCTGTACCAGTTTCGCAGCTGAGAGCCGAGCGTCCTGACCTTAGAGGGAAACAGAGAGAGCCGAACTGAGACACTGGTACAAGGAATGACTGGTACAGGGAAAAAATGGTACACAAGGAAAAAACGGTACATGGAAAGTTTGGAAACACATACTGGAAGCGCGCTGCGCTTTCTTAGTGCGAGCGCTGCGTTTTCCTGTGCCGGTGTATCGGTTCTCGGAGATCGTCCACTGGACACGGTTATGGCTGTTCTGATGATGTACTGACTGGCTCTCGAAACGGTATAAGGGAAAAACGATACAGGCAAACGTCTAGTGGGGGCGTGCTGTGCTTCTTAAGTGGGAGCGCCGCTGAGCTTTCTCAGTGGGACCGCTGTGTTTTCCTGTGCCAGTGTACCGGTTCTCGGAGATCATCCACTGGACTTGGTTATGGCTGATCTGATGATGTACCGACTGGCGCTGCGAAGCATAACTGTTTCCAGTGCACCAGCTGGCAGACAGACCTCAGAGCTCAGACAAAACAGGTTCCTGTGGAGGCTATTGTCTTGACCTGAAAAGAGCACTGGGTCATTATCGCTGCATTTCGGTCACCTCGCAGTCTAGATGCTGTGACGATTACCGCACGTTCAATTCGGGTGAGGATGGCAGTACAGGGAACTGTTTCTCTGAATCTGGTCCTAGAGCTTGTCCACCAGTACTTGAACCCAGACCTCAGAGCTGCCTTCTTCCCCCGAATAAAACGCACGGTCATTATCGCTTTGTCCAGAAAGAAATTGGGCCCCAAATACACTTGAAAGCTACATATAAGATCATGATGACTGCTGCATAAGAACTGCCGAGGACGCGACCACTTTCGTGCTCGTCGTCTATCTGCTGTGATTGATCGGGGGCTGCAGCGGTCGTTTGTCCAAGATCTAGCCTGTTTCTACTGGGTGCACCACTGTAATGTGCAGCACATCCTCTCACAGTTGGAAAGCTACAGAGAAGATCAGCATGGCCCCTGCTTGATGAGCTCGGAGGGCGCTATGCCTTCGCTGTCTTCGTTGTCTTCGTCGTTTATCTGGTGTTGTCTGAGAGCTGTAGTGTTTACGTGGCCGTGTTTACAGGCATTGTTCATCTCTGCTATAGCGGTGATTGCCGATGGATGAATGCTTTTCTTCAACATCTTCATGAGAGGTGCCATTTCTGTGTTTTTTTGTTTTTTTTGTTTTTTTTTTGTTCTTGTTGGAAGGGCTTATCGGCCTGGGCGATGGGTTGATTTCTCGGTCTTTCCAGGGGTTGGAGGGAGTTGAGTGGAAGTGGGCACAAAGTGTGCAGAAGAGAGGGATTCTCTGGCGTGGCTTCTCCTGAAGAAGTATAGTTAGGTCTCTTTTGTCTTTTATGGTCCCGTTTCCTCCCCCGACACGAATGTGCAGTCATTATGGGTGTATTTGGGGCAACTTTCAGTCTAGATACCGTGATAACGACCACGTTCCATTCGGGTGAAGGCGGGTGTGAGTTTGTGCAGTCACTTACTAGGAAGAAAGCCTGCCGGAGGGAGGGAGATTCTCTTCACGGAGTCTTTGTCTGGCAAAAGGGGGTTGGACGTGGTGGTGGGCGGAGGGAGGGGGGGAGGAGGATATGTGCAACAACAGGTTGCTGTCCAGACGGCTGAATGTTTTTTGTTTTTTGTTTTTTTGTCAGACAGCTGAATGTTAGACTATTAACAGCCTTGTTAATCTAAAGGGTAGGAGCTCAAATCCTGTGCAATGGCATACTGCCAACTCCCCCCCCCCCCCGAATAGCCATGTTTATCCAAAGCGATTACGAGTTCAAATCCTGTGCAGTGCTGAGAGGTGGCGGTTAACGGAGGCCTCGATTGTCAGACAACTTCTCATCTCCTGCCATTTGTAACAAAACTCAGTTGGTTAGAGTGAACGCTTGCCCGATAAGTGTATAGTCAGTATAGGTCAAATCTACTTAGGGCCACTCTGCGTTGCTGGCGAGCTGCACTCGCAATAGCGTTTTCTTTTCTTTTATTTGATCGTCTTTCCTTCGGCCTCTCATCTCACACAGCAACCGTAAACCAAAACAAAAACAGGCAAAAAAGAAAAAAGAAAAAAAAAGGGTAAAATTTGACCCCCAAAGTTCCCAAACCCTAATTTTCCAGTTTTGGACCCGTCACCCAGGAGCTGAAAGTGGGGTCCCCATTAACCAGTTGTGGCACTGCTGTAACACAACGAGGGGTAACGCCGCCCCATGCAGCGAGGAGAAAATGGGTTTTCCCACCCTCCGGTCATGACAGAGGGAGGGAGGGCATCTCGTCATTTGGGACGTCCATTCAATTTGGAACAAGATTAGTTAACGTCGATAAAGCAGGGGCGGAGCAGTGGTACACACCCTTCCGGCAAGGAAGTGACCAAATCCATTGTCCCATGATCTCTAGGCCATAATGAGGAGAAGCATTGAGTGGTTACACCTCTGATGTAAGGGACGCTGGAACCATTTTCCAGATTTAGTAATATGAAAGTGTTCTTTTTCTTTAAAAAAAAAAAAAGAAGAACGTATGGCAGTTATTGCTCTATCTAGAATGAAAGTTGTCCCAGATATATATAGCTTCAACGACTGTACTTTCTACTCGCGGGAAGGCGTTAGCAATTATCCGCTGTGCAATTCAGACAATTACGACACATAAGTCGAGAAAGGGAGGGCACCTTTGCTGCTATCGCTTGTCATCACTGTACTGTCACTGTTGCGCTTTGTTTCAACTTTCAAGTGTTCAGCGCTGTGCTCTCAGAAAGCTGATGTCATTGCTAAATCACCTACCTATATCTTTCCACGACCGGTCTGGTGATCAGGAGGTTTGCTTGCCTTTTTTTTTTTTCGTCTCCTTCTCGGAAAGAGGGTTACCCCTAATCACT